CCTCGAAATGCTCAGCATAGAGTTACCACAGGACCCAGCAATTCCACAATGAGAAACACGAGCACATGTCCACGCTAAACTTGTACATGAATGTTCTCAGCAGCATTACTTATAAAATCCCAAAAGTGCAAACAACCCAAACACCCATCAACTGATAAATGGATAAATACAATGTAGTATATCCAGACAATGTAGTATTATTTAGCAACAAAAAGGAATGAGGTACTGGTGTATGCTTCTACATGCATGTACCTAAAAACATTATTATGCTAAGTGAAAGAAACCAGTCATAAAAGACCAAATATTAAACATGTTGTCATTCCAGAATAGGCAAATCCAAACAGACAAGAAAGTCAACTAACTGCTAGTTGCTTAGGGTTCGGGGGAGAGGAACTAGGGATTATTTATTGGTGAGTACCGGGTACCTTTTCGGGATGATGAAAATGCTCTGAAATTAGATAACGGTGATATTTACACAACTCTGTAAATATACTAAAAATCATTATCTGTGTACTTTAAAAGAGTGAACTGCATGGTATGTATATTTTAATGATGCTTTTTGTAAAAATGGGCAAAAGATTTAATAGTTCACCAAAAGCTATGATTGGTTAATAAGCACAGGTAAAGATGCCCAACATCATTAGTCATTAGGGAAATGCAATTAAAACTGCAGTGAGATACCTAACTTCATAATTACTAGAATGACTAGTGAAACAGACAGACAAGATGAGGATGTGAACAACGCGGGGCCCTCCTAAGTTGTTGCTGGGGTGTACTCTGGAAAAGTTTGCCAGTGTCTTAGAAAGTAAAACATAACTTTACCACAGGAACTAGCAATTCCAGTCCTAGGTACCTAAGAGAAATGAAAAGATGTCTATACAATGACCTGTATGTAAATTCTCCTAATTTTCAGCACTGCTCATAATAGCCAAAAAAGGAAGAGCAGCCCTAATGACTATCAACCGACGAACAGATAAACACATGTTGTACATTCACACAACAGAATATTGGCTAGCAACGAAAAGGAGCAAGCTACCACTATGTGCTTCATCGTGGATGAACTTCAAAAATATCCTGCGAAGTGAAAGAAGCCGGCGGCAAAAGACCGCATATTCTATGAGTCCATCGCTGTAAATGCCCAGAAAGGGCGAGTGGAGAGGGACAGAAAGACCGGTGACTGCCCGGGGCTGGCGGGAATGGGAGTGACTGCAGCGGACACGAGAGAGCGTTCTGAGGTGATGGAAACGTTCTGAACTGGGCGTGGTGGATGCACAAGTGTCAATTCAGGGAAAATCACTTCACTGTACACTTCCCAAAACACTACACAATATGGTCTTGATGACAAGCGCAAGAGTCATAGTCATGATCACAAAAGGCAACAAAGGGGCACATTCTGGGGTTTCACCACTCAAATGATAACTTTTCCTAAATAAATGATACTCTGAAAATACCAACATCATGCATTAGTGTATTGCTTTTCAGTTAAACACATACACGTGCCCTCACATATTAATTAACCAAAAAGCATTTGCTGAACACCCACCATGTGCCTGGCTAGGTCTGGCCACCTGGTAACTAAAAAGCAGATGCTGAGTCGTGGTCCTTCCAGGTCCCTGCTGAGCCCCAGAGACACACACCTAAAAGCGCCCCCAACCATGGAAAACTACCTCCTGACTGACCCTGACCTCATTTTTACTTTTCTGTGTCACATAAAAAGAAATTGGTCAAAAACTAGAAAGGATTGAGGCTATCATTTGTTATTAGGAAAATGCCGATCAAAACCACAAAGAGATAACACTTAGGATGGCTATGATTTTTTTTAAAAGTTAACAAACTGCTGGTGAGGATGTGAAGAAAGTGGAACTTTCATACACTGCGGGTGGGAATGTAAAATGGTGCAGCCACATTGGAAAACTATCAATTCCTGAAATGGTTAGATAGTTACTTACCATAATGACCCAGAAATTCCACAACTAATTATATACCCGAAAGAAATAAAAACATTTGTCTATACAAAAACTTGTGCATGAATGTTTATAAAAACGTTATTTATTATAGCCAAAAAGCCAAACTGTAAACGTGTGTAGTTTGTTATACCCCAACAAAGGTATCAAAAATAAAAAGAAACAAAAATGATAAGCAGAAAAAACCTATACTAGCCAATGAATTAATGCATCTATTTTTTCTAAAGGACAGTGACAAAATGTGGAAAGAAATGACAACAGAGGAAATGGCTGCTGACCTCTAGGAATCAAAGCTGGGAAGAAGGCTCCTGAATCAACTGGACGGAGCCCAGGCACGCCAGGTTCTCCGCCCAGAGCCCTTGCTCTTCATGGAGCTGTTTTGGAGGGAGAGTCTTGGCAAAGATGCCTGAGTGGACCTGACTTTCCAGGTGCTCCAGGCAGTTTTATTCTAAAACATGTGGCGAGGTGAGTGTGTGGTGGGCGCAGGGACTAAAAAGAACCAGGCACTGGATGCCCCCATGTCATGGGGTCAACCTGAGCAAGAACTTCACTTCTTTTCTTATTCTAGAGCCTCGAACAGTGTTTGGTATATAACTGCAGCTCAAAAACTGTCTGCCCGAGGGAAATGATAAGCACAAGTGATACTGAAGTGCTACACATGTTACCACAGTAGCTAATTTACCAGAGTTACAGGACAGACACCTGACTGTGGCTTGGCACGAGACTCCCCTGCAAAGCTCTTAGAGATGGGTCCTGGGTGCTGCAGGTCCTAAACCTGCACTGGTGGGAACGGTGCACAGGATGCAGAGACACTAGGCTGTTAATAAAGGCAGGGAACAGGCTGCACCTCCTGAGTAACTGAATTCTGGAGGTGTGTGTGTGTGAGATGGGGGGTAGAGAAGGGGAGGGGGAGGGGATGTAAAACCTGGCACAAGAACTTGGACACTTTATTGAACTCAATCCGAATCATTAGATCAAAGACTAGGACACAACACAACATAAACAAGAAATTGATCCAGTTAGGAGGCCACACACTGTAGCAATAAGACACCAACTCACTATTCTTTGGTAACAGTCAGGAAGTGTTGCAACCTGAAGCTGGGAGCTTAATCTCAGTAACTTTAATCTGAAAGAGCATTTGAGGTGTCTTCCATCAGCCTTTCCTGTTCTTTTTGATTAATAATGACCTCTGGCTCCCAGTCCCTGAAAGACCATCATTTTAAGGCCAATTTAGGACCTCATTGCGAAGCTTCATTTCAGTCCCACCAGTTCCAGGGTGGAAGCTATAATGCCAGGTGGCTAGGAGGGCATGTTGTGCAGGAAGAGGGCCGGGTAAGACCTAGCTCTACCACTCACTAGCTGTGCATCCTTAGGCTAGTAGATTAACCTCTCTGTACATGAGATTCCTAATTCATAATCTGGAAATAACAGGTTGTGGTGAAAAGTTCAAATAACCCACCTGGTAACCACTGATTAAGTAGCAGTTTCTGCCACATCTGTGCTAAACATGGCAAAGACATGACATAGCCCAACTGAAACTCATCTCCCTGCTCATTCCCTGCCATAGTTCTGTACCAGTCTTCTTCTCTCAGTAACAGTGCCACTACCCAACCAGGTGCTCAAGGCACAACCCTGGAGTCATCCTGGATGCCTCCCCATACATCACCTTCCACATCCACTGCACCAGCACGACCTGTCAGTTCTTCCTCCACAATACACTGCTGTCTACTTTACCATTTCACTGTCCTCTCCAAATCTCTCATAATCTATGTACTCCTTGCCTCTCTGCCTTCACTCTGACCATCATCCCTTTCATTTCCCACAGAGCTGCCAGAGTAAGCTCTTAGAAAGTCAGTATGATCAGTCACTTCACTATTTACTTCCCAGTCTGGAACGTGAGCACTGCAGTGATGAGCCAGCACTGACCTCACAGAAGGGGACAACACTCAGGGGTAGCAGAGCTGAGACAGAAGGAAATTGCGTTCCTGGATGTCTTTGATCTGGGGAACACCAGTCTCATGCTTGTATTTAGGGTACCTATGTTCCACATGCTCACCTCTGTACTGTTACATTAGAGAGTAAAACTTCCACCTTGTTTGAGCGGATGTGGTTTGAAGTCTCCCTGTTATAGAAGCTACACCTGTGCTCCAATAACATGGTCCCTGGAAGTGAGGTATGGCTGTAACACAATTTTTCTGCAGCTTAGTGATCAGGCAGTGGGTGGTGAGTCAACAGATGCTGCAGGGTAGAAAGTTAGTCGAGCTGTGTGAAACATTTGAAAACGCATTGCCTGCACTAACTCGAAAGAGATCCTGTCTCGTGGATCCTGCAGGTCCAGAAGCAGCTGCCATAAAAATGTCAGACGCTGGATATGCTGGCAGCTGGATGCTGCCCTGGGCGAGGCACAGAGATATCACCGAGGTGGAGAGGAGCCAGCAATCCGCAGACAGAGCTGGAAGACAACAGTGCTGCTCCGGGCTCTGCCTTCCGCCGCAACCTCACGGACTCTTCTGTCCCCGGAAAGGCGAAGCGCTGTCCCTTGGTTTCCCTCCCAGTCTCGCACCGGCCTGATCTGATCACTCATCCACGCCATCGCCTCTCACCTGGTTCTCTCCGGTCAGAGCACTAAATCCGGGCGACTGGCCAGTCTGCCCAACCAGCACTCCTACCACACCAGCCCAGCGCCTGCACGTGGAGGCGGGACGCAGGCGCGCCACCACCTGGCCCAGACGCCGAGTCCTCAAGGCCTTTAAGAGAGCTCCGCGCACCCCAGAGGGACCCTGATCTCCCGATCCCCGGGAGCATAAGGTGCTGGTGGCACGCGAGTCCTGTACTTCTGCGCAGGCGCGGCAGAAGGGCGGACCCCGCCTACCGCTGGCCCCGCCCCCCGCTGGCCCCGCCCCGACAGGTGCTCGCGGGCCGCTGCCCCTCAAGGCCACCTCTCAGTAAGTGCCGCCAGCAGACGCGAAGCCCACTATGGGCCCGCCTGAGGACGCCGCCTTCCCCTTCGTAACGCCCAGGCCCCGGTGGGCTCACCGCGTCCCCCAAAACCTGCAGTTCCTCCGGCCTGCGCCGACGCCACCGGCCCAGTGTCAGGGTGTCCATGCGATCCACAGGCCCAACTCTGCGGGGCTCTTCCCCATCCGAGGCCGGGCGCCCCGCCCACGCCGCAGCCGCCGCGTCAAAGCCTTACTCCCACGTGTCCTGGTGGAGCCAATGAGAGGCAGGGTTGGGGTGCAGCAGGACCGATTGAGTCCTACCGGGCAAGCGCTGCAGGCAGGAGTAGCGGAGACCAGAGTCTTCTGAACTTAAGGGACGTCAGTCCCAGATCATTATTTTGCAAAGAAGGCCGTCCTACCACTTCTCAGGTCACTGAATCGGCCGTGAGACCCCGAAGAACCTACCTTTTAAGGATCCCGCCACGTTCGACCGCAGACCTTGGATCGGCTGGACGAGTGCCCGCCTCCTCACCCTTGTAATTGGCCGTCTTCCTGGCTGGTTGGCTGATAGATGGCGCAGTTAGCCAATCAGCATGGGCAAGGCTGCGGGGTCTCTGGGAGTTGTAGTCCCAGTGAGGCGGCCTCACTTCCGGGCCAGTGCGGGCAAGGACCCTGGTGCCGCGACTCCGCGATCTCCAGCCGGGATTGGCCCGAGGCTCGGTGGCTTCCGAACCTGAGGCCTCAGGGCAACACTTCTCTGCTGGCTGAGGGCAGCGCTGCAGGGCCCTCGGGCTTTGCAGAAGGGGAAACCGTGGCCTCTCCCCCAACCCTCGGGCGTGGGATTCCGGCTGTGCACTTGGTAAACCGGGGTACCCAGGTGACTGATGTTGGTAAACAGTGTGCTGAGCTACACCGCATCCTTCTAAATACACCTCCTGCTGTATATCGTGTTAGAGGAAAGGTATTCGTGATACTTGTTAAAAATGGTAAGGCAGACTTCACCTGGGGGACCATCATGACAGGTATTGGGGTTTGCAGTAGGGAGAGAGTGGGCTCAACTTTGACTTCAAGGACAAGTGGGAATTTATAGCCAATCTACCTAGTATGTTTACTTAAATTCATAATATCTTAAATTTTTTAAAATAATGCAAAACATCTATAAAATGATAGTTCAAGTGCTCATTTTAACGTTAAATACATTAACCGTTAGGAGAAAACAGAAAACTTTCATGACATTGGAGTCTTGCATAAAACACAGTCAACAAATGAGAAAAATAGCAAAATTGGACTATATAAAAATTTAAAATTTTTATGCATCAAAGATGATATGCAAATGGCCAATAAGCACACAAGAAAATGCTCAACATCACTAATCATTAAGGAAATGAAAATTAAAACCACAATGAGATACCACTTCATATCCATTAGTACGGTTGTAATAATAAAAGAAATATGTTGGCTAGGATGGAAAGAAACTGGACCCCTGGTGCATTGCTGGTGGAAATTGAAATGTTGCAGCCACTACTAAAAACAGTATGATAGTTCCTGAAAAAATTAAAAATAAAATTATATGGTTCTACAATTCCACTTTTGAGTATAATTGAAAGCAGGGATTAGAACACCTATGTTCAAAACAGTACTATTCATAATAGCCAAATTGTGGAGGTGACCTGTGTCCATAGATGGATAAATGTATAAACCAAATGTAGATACTGACAATGGAATATTATTCAGGTTTAAAAAGGAAGGAAGTTCTGACACCTGCTACATTATGCTAAGTGAAATACGCTGGTCACAAAAGAACAAATACAATATAATTCCACTACGTGAAACATTCATGGAGACAGAATGGTGGTTTCCATATGGCAAAGGGGCAGGGCATGAGATTTATTGTTTAATGGGGACGGTTTCAGTTTAGAAGATGAAAAGAGTTGTGGACATGGGGTCCATTTTATGTATGTTTTACCACAATAAAGACAACTATTAAAAGAAAACTTGCTCATCCATGCACCACTTACTGTCATTTTGCACACCACCTTCAGGGGAAGTGGCACAGGAGGAAGGTGACCAGAGTTCCACTTCCCCCTGCTGATTCCCAGCTCCAAGGCAAGCTTCTTTTTCCTCAAAGTCCCCTTCCCTTGTTGATAAATTGGGATGCTGATAAGGGGCCTACCTCAAAGGGGTGCTCTGGGTTTTCAGTGACGCAGTCTGCAGTGGTGAGCATGATGTCGGGGATGCAGTCAGTTTCTGCTCATCATTGGGGCATGGCCACCCCAGTCTCTCCCAGCTGGACCAGCCGGAGTTCAGAAAGGGTCAGGAGAGGTTTCGTTTACACTTAACTAATGATGTGTGCGGGGCAAGTGTTGACCTCCGAGCCTCAGTTCCCTCCTCTGTAAATAGGAATACAACAGCTGCTCCTGTCACCTGCTTTCCAGGGAAGTCGGAGCTTCGAGCAGCAGTGGATTACCTTTAATAACTGGCTGAGCTCCTGGCCAAGGGAGTGTGTGTGTTTGTGTGTGTGTGTGTGGTGGGGGTGGGGTTGAGTGACAGTTTATTTTATTTTTTATTTATTTACTTGTTTATTTTATTTTAATTATTTTTTTAATTTTACTTTTGTTACAGATGTTTCTCCTTTTTTTACCACATTGACACCCTCCTCCCCATCCCCCCTACCCCATCCCCGGCTTTGTTGTCCATGTCCATTGGTTATGTGTACATGCATATAAGTTCTGTGGTTTATCTCTTCCCTCCTACCACCACCCCCCTTCTGAGGGTTGTCAGTCTGTACCTTACCTCCATGTCTCTGGGTCTACACTATTCCTCAGACTGTTATGTTCATTATATTCCACAAATAAGTGAGATCACATGGTATTTGTCTTTTTCTGCTTGGCTTGTTTAGCTTAAGATAATACTTTACAGGTCCTTCCATGTTGTCTCAAAGGATAAGAGATCTTTCTTTCTCACAGCTGCGTAGTACTCCATTGTATATATGTACCACAACTTTCTTATCCATTCGTCTACTGATGGACACTTGGGCTGTTTCCAGATCTTAGCTATTGTAAATAGTGCTGCTATGAACATGGGGATACATATATTGTTTCTGATTGGTGTTTCAGGCTTCTTAGGGTATATTCCTAGAAGTGGGATCACTGGGTCAAATGGAAGTTTAATTTTTAATTTTTTGAGGTAGCTCCTTATTGTTTTCCATAGTGGCTACACAGTCTGCATTCCCAACAGCAGTGTACTAGAGTCCCCTTTTCTCCACACCCTCGCCAACACTTGTTTGATGATTTGTTGATGGCGGCCATCCTGACAGGTGTGAGGTGATACCTCATTGTTGTTTTAATTTACATCTCTCTGATGATTAGTGATGTTGAGCATTCCTTCATATGTCTCTTGGCCATTTGTATGTCCTATTTGGAGAGGTTTCTATTCAGCTCCTCTGCCCATTTTTTAACTGGGTTCTTTGTCTTAGTTTTGTTGAGTTGTGTGAGTACTCTATATATTTTGGAAATTAACCCCTTATCTGACGTATCATTGGCAGTGATGCTCTCCCATACAGTGGGTTACCTTTCCATTTTGCTGGTAGTTTCTTTTGCTGTGCAGAAGCTTTTGAGTTTGATGTAGTCCCATGTGTTCATTTTTTCCTTTGTTTCTGTTGCCTTAGGTGAGTATCAGTGAAAATTCTGCTGCATGTGATGTCCGAAATTTTGTTGCCTACATTTTCTTCTAGAATTTTTATGGATTCACGGGTCACATTTAAGACTTTTATTCATTTTGAGTTTATTTTTGTATATGGTGTAAGTTGATGGTCTAGTTTCATTTTTTTGCATGTAGCTGTCCAATTTTCCCAACACCATTTATTAAAGAGGCTGTCTTTACTCCGTTGTATGCTCTTGCCTCCTTTGTGAAATATTCATTGAGCATAATGTCTTGGGTCCATTTCTGAGTTCTCTGTTCTGTTCCACTTGTCTATATGCCTATTCTTGTGCCAGTACCAGGCTGTTTTGATTACAGTAGCTTTATAGTATAACCTGATATCTGGTATTGTGATCCCACCTACTTTGTCCTTCTTTTTCAAGATTGCTGTGGCTATTCAGGGTCTTTTTTTGGTTCCATATGAACTTTTGAAGTATTTGTTCTAGTTCTGTGAAGTATGTCATTGGTATTTTGATGGGGATTGCATTGAATCTATAGATTGCTTTGGGTAGTATGGACATTCTAATGATGTTAATTCCTTCCAATCCATGAACAAGGCATGTGCTTCCACTTTTTTGTATCTTCCTCTATTTCTTTTTTCAATGTCCTGTAGTTTTCTGCAAATAGGTCCTTTACTTCTTTGGTTAAGTTTATTCCTAGGTATGTTAATTTTTTTGCCACAATGGTAAATGGGATTGTTTTTTCAGTTACTCTTTCTGTGAGTTCATCATTGGTGTATAAGAATGCCGTAAATTTCTTGACGTTGATTTTGTATCCTAATCCTCACCCGAGGATATTTTTCCATTTTTTGTTCAGGTAGAGTGGGAGGGAGAGAGAGAAACATCGATGTGAAAGGGACACATTGAGTGGCTGCCACCCGCACGACCAACCAGGGCCAGGGACCAACTGCAACCGAGGTATGTGCCCATAGTGGGAACAGATCCTGGGTCTCTCTGGGCCACAGGCCGACTCTCTAACCGCTGAGCCAAACTGGCCAGGGCAAGTCTAGTAGATTTTTGATGGAGTGTTTAGGGTTTTTTATGTATAATATCATGTCATCGGCAAATAATGACAGTTTCACTTCCTCCTTTCTAATTTGGATCCCTTTTATTTTTTCTTCCTGTCTCATTGCTGTGGCTAAGACTTCCAGTACTATGTTAAATAAAAGCACGCAAGTGGGCATCCCTGTCTTATTCCTGTTCTTAAGGGAAATGCTTTTAGTTTCTGCCCATTGAGTATGATGTTGGCTGTAGGTCTTTCATATATGGCCTTTATTATGTCGAGATATGATCCCTCTATTCCCACATTGCTGAGTGTTTTTATTAGAAATGGATGCTGGATTTTGTCGAATGCTTTTCCAGCATCTGTTGATATGATCATGTGGTTTTTATTCTTCATTTTATCTATGTGGTGTATCACATTTATTGATTTGCAAATATTGTACCAGCTTTGCATCCCTGGGATGAATCCCACTTGGTCATGGTGAATAATTTTTTTGATGTGTTGCT